TTGACGTTGTTCTTCTGTAGGTGGCCGATGAAATGCCACTTGATTTCTGGGCATGACTCCAAAATCTAGATAAGGAGGAAGAAGGACAGTTGAAAAAGCTAAAAGGTCAAACTCTGCACGCCATCCAATGGAACATGTGAACCTACCAGTGGATCTGACGCTTTGTCCACAAGCTCATTGACCTGGAAGGAGAGACGTATAGAGGTCAGTCTCCATCAATTCCTTGATGGCCAGCAGCGTTCCATACTCACATAGTTCTCTCCAAAGTTGCGCTGCCCTTGCCTGTAGGCCTCCACAATCATCTCTGGGGGTTTGGTCTTGCTGACGGCTACAAGGCGGGGCGGCACAGCCGGGAGCGTCTGAGGAAGGACATATTATCCATAATCTGATTCGGTGGATGAACTTTTCAGATTTATATTTGCTAAAAAGCCTGAAAAACACCATGTGACTTTTAGTCCGCAAGTATGAGCTACTCTGTACTGGTTGAGATGCTGTGAGGAAGCAACAAAAGGACCAAACCGGGACAGTGTGCTGCATCATAACCAACTGACTGACATTCTCTTCATTCAAATAACTGAGAATCACATCTTGTATTGGAATATTGATTTTTTTTCCTCTGGTGGACAAGCTGTTAGTTCCAAATGACTTAGTTGTCAATATGTCTGATTCATCACTGGTCCATCTCAAGAGTTTAGGAGCCTTTTTATACCTTGATGCTTCCAGATAAATTTAGACACAGCTTAATTAGGTCAAATGAAAATTATCGACAGAGATGACATTTAAAAAAAAAATAACAAGAAGGTCTCTATGATCTGAGACAAACTGTCAGAAATCAGGCTCATTCTGGTCAAAGCTGACCACCTGCTGTGATAAAAACAAGAAATTGATTGGCTCGGCTTGATCCACAACATGATGCTAAGACATGAACGTGCATCCACAGAACGAGAGGATCCTCGCATTAACATGCTGTCACTTTAAATCACGAATCGTGTTATAAAAGTGCTGCTACAGGCTCGAGTGCCTTCCATCCAAAGGTTGAGATGTTTGGCAGTCGTTCATAACCTCCGCTCTCTCCCCCGCCTTCACATAGCGGGGCATCAGCGAGCGGCTCTCGCGGCCGCTGTTACCTTAGGCCGCCGCGCCGCCGCCTGTTTCACCCGCTCCAGCACCGACTGGACCGCCTTCCCAACCTCCTCCGACATTGCTGCTTTCCACATTCCGTCAAAACGGCTACGTGAAGGAGACGCAACGACTGTGACGTCAATACGCTTTCAAAGTAAAAGTCTACCTGCCGGACGGAAGCGTAGACAGCGCCCTCTGTTGGTTAACTCTGAGTTTCACTTTTGAGAAGTGCATTCAGTGTATCTTTTACTGAAAGGTTTAAGTAACTAAAGTACAAATTTCAAACCATGTTTTCTATATCATTCGTCTTCTTTAACTCAGTCCCTTAAATCACTTAATGACCACTGAAACAGGGCATCTGTGTCTATAAGTTTTTGACATTCTCTTAATATGCTGCTGTGCACTATGGTTTGTTTAGATGCAATTTTTCTTACATTGCTTTTTTCTTACTAAACTGAACAAGCCAGACTCATTTTCATCAAATACCTTACAAAACGTTTGTGTATCGTATCAATCCAACTGTCAGATGCTGTAGCTTAGCTATGCACATGCTGTTTTATGGCTTGTGGAAGTAGTTCAGGAATTTTGATGAGTACATATTGTCTGGAGGATTTCCATTCAATGTCAGCTTAAATAAACCACTGCTTTCCAGAAAACTTCCCTCCGAAAAAATAAAATAAAATAAAAACCCCAAATCATATAATATCCAGACATACCCAGCTAATATTTAGTTTATAGTCAATTTAGCTAAGTGGCTATTATAAAACAATAAATTCCCTTATCATAAAAAAGGACAGACACAAAAACAAATAAGGAAATTTTAATTTATTCCCATTAAATCACAAAACACCAAAATGAAGAGAAATTCACCATCACACAACTGCTGAGCCTGAAGAACAAAAAAACTTAAAAATTGAGTAACAAAAGATTTAACCGCAGCTCATTCTTTCCACTATCTTCCTCTCCTCTCATACTCTCTCTAAAGCCTCCAACATGATGATGCTGTTTCCTCTGATAACCTGCAGCAGAGAAAAAAAAACACTGATTAAAATACAAAGCATTGCATTTTTTAAAATATAATTCTATATTGTAATTGAATATAATCAGTAGTTGTAAATCTGGGTGCTTTCTCTCCGTGTCTATAATCAGATTAACTCGCCGTTTCTTGGCTAACAAACATTAAAAGCTGAAGCGGGTTCCTGAACTTCGAGGTACTGACCACCATGCCAATGGTGTTCTGCTGTCCACCTGGACCCATCTCCAGACAGTCGTCCACCACCAGGTTCATGAAGGGGTCGAATCCTCGTAGGATGCCCTGAACATGCCTCCCTCCGTTCAGCTTCACTGCAACACAAACCCAGAACCTTTCAGAAGATTTTGAAACCAGATCAGACGTCAGAAACAAAACACTAAGCTAAATTTATTCCAGTTCAGTTTTCTTTGGACTGTCAGGTTTCTTAGTGAGGGCATTAAGAGTTCCAACTATTTTAAATAATTTGGCTGTAAAAAAAAAAAAAGAAAGAAAGAAATTACAACCTGACGAGCACAAAAGTTTGCATAAGTCAGTGTTTCTAAAAGATTGATAGATAAAATTACCCGTAAGCTTAAAGTGAGATTTACTAATTCATCAGAAAATATGACTACCTCAAAATATCTGAGGTTGGAAGTTTTTCCCTCAATAGAAAATGCATGTTTGCTCATATGAATATATTTCCTTTTTGCCAATGTGAAATGCTTTGTTACAAGCAGTCTGCTCCAGATGTTTGATTTCTTTAGATCAAATTTACAAAAAATATGTTAGAACAGTATGACATAAAGGAGACGGTAAACATTTAGAGAAAAAAAGAAATTAAATAAAGGGTTATTTCACAGCTGCTAGAGCAGCAGATATGGTCATCTCTAGTTTTAGTATTTTATATACTAAATCTTAGTATATAAAATTCTAAGATTTATCAAACAAGGAATTAATTTAATCTATAATTAAACTGAAATTGTTGGAGCTAATATTAGAAAGGCTTTAAAGGCCATTACTCAGTTTAAGAAAATATAAAAAAGGTTTAGGTCAGTGTTTGCTATTTTTTACAATCTGAAATTCCTTAATCAGTTGAACTTTCATTTCACTAGGCAAAACATTAGAACAACTTCTTATTTACAACGCTAGTCTGAAAGTGCTGAAACACTTAAGTCCAACAGCTTTCCTCCCCTTTCTTCATCTCAAATTGAGCCCATTTTAAAGTACAAATCCGACAGCGCAAGGCAGGAATTTATGTGGACAAAACAGTTGAATGATAAGACATGTAACTGCAACAACTTTCAAAAACAAGACCAAAATCCAACTGTTTGTGAAGCTGCTTGCCATCCAGATAGTTGGGGAAAAAAAGCCCAAGATAATTGTATTAAAAACCTCTGATACTATTGTATGCAGTAGTAGTAGCATAAAAAAGTAATCCTAAACAAGTTAAAGAAATGGTGTGTTTAAAAGGTCGATCAAATACTGAATTGATCCATACAATTTTATTTATAGAAGTTTTGTATTCTGTAATTGTGGTACTTCAAAACACAAAGAAACAAGCTACAAAAATGACCAAAAAAAGCAATATTTAGGCAGAAGAAATACAACTCCAAATTAGATTTTCTCCATTAAGCTGTGGAAACCATTAGGTAATTAAAAATAATCACCTTAGAAGATTGTAAAATACTTTGTGACAGCCACTTTTGCTGTTACAACAGGATCGGTAGATAGAAATGTTAGAACAATGAAGCTTGTCTAACAAACTAGAAGTCTTAACATAAACTCCAGGTGTGTGGAGGTTTCCTTTTGCTCTAATCATGGCTGTCATTCAGTGAAATAATTAGAGGATGGGAAATGAGACTGAAACAGTGCTGAACCCTTACTTTATAACATTAGCCAAAGAAGGTGGAGTAAAACCACTCCTAGAAGTATTTCATTGCTCAAAAAGTTGATCGAGTAAATGTAGCTAGTGATTAGCCACATCTGACTCTGGCGTGTTACAAGCTAACACTTTAACACAAAAGTGCAGCGTCTGGGAATGAAAATTGAGCCATACTCACAGGAAAGCTTCTTGTCCATAAACCTAAAATAGAAAGACATTTTCTGTAAATAAAAGTTACATTCAGGACAGTTCCAACAACACTGCTAATGTTAGCATACTGCCACTGAAAACCATACAACTGAGATAATACGCCGCTCTCATTTCTACCAAGAACAAAAACAGTCAGATTACCGTTCCCGCTTTGCGTTAAACCCAAGTAAACTTACTTCTTCAGCTCTGGTGGGTGTGCTTTACTCATTTTGTCTTTAGTTGCAGAAAACCTGTATGCTAACTGTTCGTTTGACAAAGCCGCGGAAGGAAAGCGTGCATAGGGTCAGAACGGAAGTTGTCTGACATGTTTGTGAAAAGGGCTTATCAGCGACCGGTTTCAACGTTCCAACCACACACTGCCCCCAAGAGGCCAGGAGGAGGCAGAGTCTGGAAGAACTGAGAGAATCAGGTTTTGTAGAATCACTAAACCAATGTTTAATGTTGAAATGTGATGATTTTAAACCAATTCAAAAGTCTTATATAGAAGTACATATAGAATAAAAAAAATCCAAATGTCTTAGTTTAATTACAAGTACTTTGAGATATTTTTTAAAGAGATAAATCAGCTGCTGTCACCATGACGCCATCCTTGATTAAACAGAAGATGGAGGTTTTCAGAAACTCTGAAGTTAAAAAGCATACATTCCGAAAATGTCACATCTTTATTAACAACCAATGTCACATATGGCTTGGTTAAAAAAAAAAAAAATTAAATATAGGATTTTTCCAATGAACAAATTCACTAAAAGGCTCCCCCCCCCCTCCTCCCACACACACACACAGGAGGCCAGTCATGTTAAGGCAGAATAATCCACCATCAAATCTTAACACCAGTCTCACAATGAGAAAAAACACAAATATTTCAGCTGTATAGTTTTATTCTGTCATCTATAAAGCAATATGAACCAATTTATTAAAGAAAAAAGTTATAAAATAAACATTTATATTTCACAGTAGCACCTTAAAGACAGTATCTAAACAAAAACAAAAAAATAGCCAGTTGTTTCTCAACCGCTGTTAATCCACATTTGCATAGGTGAGACGTTCAAGCCAACTGTTTCAAACTGAATGTGAACTACAGAGAACAAGTATTTCAATGAAAGATGCTTGGAACAGCTCAGCTGAACCAAAACCTCCACAGAAGCTGGACACAGCATCAGCCCAGAGATTTACTGTTACTTCAGAAAGTAAATGAAAGGTTCAATTTTTGTTCAAATTGAAGTATCTTGTACCAGTTTTTTCTACTCAGGGAGGGACGGGGCAGAAGGAAATACTTGGCACAGGACCCAAACAAACGCAAGAATTCAAACAAACGCAAGAATTCAAATCAAGTTGTACTATGTGTCTTCAGAAGTATAAGTATGCTTCATCAGCATAATAGCACACATTGCAGCAGAGCATTTTTCAAGAGTCCTTCAAAAATGTGCCAAAAAAAATTGAAGCCAGCCGAGAACACGTACAGAGATCCAGCAGGATCCTTCTGTTGTGATTCAATCAGGGGGGAAAGGATGATCTGATTAAAGCATTTATTCACTTTTTAAGGCAAACTGGAGCTTTGACTAACAATAAAAATCCACTTAACTAACGTAAACTGTAGTGTGTAGAGATTTAAACCCATCAGTAAAAAGCTGCTGTGGTTCACGAGCTGATAACCATCTCTGGTAATGCTGTTCTGATTGCCATTTCATATTTGCTCCCAACCGTTTCAGTGGCCATGCTTGGTCCTGTCATCTGCAGCTCTGTTTAAACTGTTGGGTGTCATTTAAACCAATCAGAATCCAGAGATCAGAACACCTGAAAGGTAATCTGTGCTCAAAAGCTTACATGGATTTCCTTTAGACCCTGATATGTTGCTACAGAATAACATTCAGTCATCAACTTCATTAGTCAAATAGTTACTTTCACACATTTTAGCATTTTCAGCTCTCCTACACCAAGCAGACATGTTCAGCACCTGAACGCACCACAATCCAACTCAGGGAGCAGAACCAACACTCGGGTCCAGCCGCTGCTGTCCGTTTGGCGCATAAGGAAGCTGCAGCTGGAGGTCAGGCTTTAGTGGGCTGCAGGGAGAGGCGCTGCTCCTCCACCTCCACCCGAACCCGGAGGTGCTCCTGGCAGTGTTCTAGAAACGAGTCCAAAGCGGAGAAGCCCTGCTGGCAGGGAATGCAGTGGTACAGCCTCTGCTTCCTGGAGGACGGCCCTTTGGACCCGTCCATCTCACACGCACAAACGCTGCACTGGCGCTGTCTCACAGATGCCTGGTGCAGTTCTATGTGCTCCTTTAGCTGCTGCTGGGTGGAGAAAACCTCTGGACAGGAGGGACAGGGGAACTCGCTGTCCTCTCGCTCGGACTCCCCTCCCGAATCGTCCACAGTGGGAGAGATGCTGCGTTGCTTCCCGAGTGGACCAAGTCCAGCTGCTGGGCCATTAGTGAGGGAATGGGAGTCTGGGACGTTGCAGTCTGTGGAGTTGCCGTCATCGTTGATGGCAATGGGGGCGGAGTCAGCTGCTTTGTGCTGCCTGCAGTGTGCCCTGAAAGTCAGATGGTGACCGAAGACTTTGCTGCAGATTTGACACGGATACATGCCGGGCTTCCGGCTCTTCTTGATGACGGGCCTGGCCTCCATCCTGGTGAGCTTCTCTCTGCGGTGCTTCTCTTTGCGATGCATGTACAACTGTGATGTGCTCCTGAAGACCATGTCGCACGAGCGGCAGCTCAGGAGCTTCCTCTTGGCTTTCAGGGTCACCACTGCAGTCCTCTCCTCCTCTTCTTCACTCGTCACTTTGGTGTTGGGCGTCTTCTCTGCGTGGCTATCCTGAAAATGCCGCCGCAACGCAGTGTCTGAGCAGAAAGTCCTGGAACAGAACCGGCATGCGCTGACAGCGCCTCCGCTGGGTCCCGGCGTGTCCGAGAAATCAGAGTGGGCAGAGTCGCCCTCAGAAACGGGTGGAGAGTCATCTGGGAGGCTGCGGGCGTCGGCAGTGTTGGACGGAGACTCGCTGCAGCCAGCTTGCTGGTGGTGCAGCAGTGCCTGCTTCTGGCTGAAGCCCCTCCCACAGGGGGCGCAGGCGTACGGGCTGCTGTCTAACAGGTGGGGCTGGAGGTGCAGCGGCGTCTCCTGCAGCCTGCCAGGGTGCGACAGCAGAGCAGCACATGGCACGCTGCAGCCGTGAGCCTCCAGGTTGCAGCGGTGCAGCTGTAGGGACGACCTGAGGGAGAACTGTTGGCCACACTGCGTACAGCGGTGGGGCTTTGGCAGCACGCCGTCCATCTCCTGGTGCTGCAGCACATCTTTGGGATAAGGAAAGCCTTTTCCACATTCCTGACAGCCATACAGAGGAAGGCGGGGGGGCGGATGGTTTGCAGAGTGTTGCTTGGCATCGGTGCGTGCAATGAAGCTGGCCAGCCTAGACAGGGTGTCCGCTCTGAAGGAGCCCTGTGACCTGGAGGAGTTCCAGTCTACCCCTTCCATCGCTCTGCCCTGCTACAAGACAGAGGACATCAGAGTCACACTGGTTCCATTTAGCAAATGGATATATATATATATATATATATATATATATATATATATATATATATATATATATATATATATATATATATATATATATATATATATATATATATATTTTTTTTTTAAGAAAAAGATGGGGGACCCCCTCTGTATGTCAAAGTATGGTCATACTTCAATAAAGTAGTAATGCAAGTTGTCTTTTGTAATATGACCAGTCTCAAAATATAACTTTACTCATTATTACGACTTTGTTCTTGTAAGATTTTATTTTGGTGATACACCTTCTACCTTCTCCCTGTACTCCTACTGACAATCCAGAAATACACTACTCTGTTAGAAACAACCAATCAGATGCAGGAGAAGGGCTAGGCAATTAGCATAGCTACAGATGACTGGAGAGGACCGAAGTCGGTCCTCGAAGGCCGGCATCCTGCACGTTTTAGTTCTCTCCCTGGTTTAACACACCTGGATCCAATGATGGCTCATTAGAAGGCCAAAAGGCTGACATGCTGAAAAGGTTGTTGGTACTACCAGGGAGAGAACTAATCCATGCAGCACACCAGCCCTTGAGGGCAGACTTTGGGCATCCCTGCAAACTGTTTCTACACTGAACAGTGTGTACATCAGCCCTACAAACTTAAGAGTTGGAGACCCCCTGTAGCGATGACCTGGTTATGGTCAGCGACTCAGCAGCATTCTGCTGGACTATAAAACCTCACCCATATCTCATGTCTTTTCAAGACGGTGGAGTGTGTAGCTCACTGAGGTATTTAATGCGGATTCTCTCACCTGAGCTGTGGATCTCGGCAACTTCTCCAGGATTACCACAGGCCTCTTCAGTGCCTCTGCAAACAGTACTCTCTGTGACTGGATTCTTTGTTTAGGTGGACGGCCACGTCCTGAAAGGCTCGCAGTTGTGCCGTACTCTTTCCATGTTTGGATGATGGCTTCAACAGAGCTATGAGAGATCTTCAAAGATTTGGAAATTGTCTTATAACCTAATCCTGCTTTAAACTTCTCCACGACCTTCTCCTTGACCTGTCGACTGTGCTCCTTGGTCTTCATGATGCCGTTGGACCTCTAGTAATTATAGCTCGACCCTAGTGAGTCGGGGTCGACATTGCATTTGATTTCATATCAGAATGAAAGGGCTGAACAGGCAACATTTCTTCTGATTTAATCTTCTGGAGTAGTTTTGTCTGGTTTTTTGTGGTCTGCCCCAGCTTTCTTGTTCTGAATTAAATAAAAGGGAAATATAGAATTGATAGGATTAGAAAGGGAAGTAAAAGACTCACACTCTGAGAAACTGCTAGTGGTTTTTCTTTCACGTCTTCTTGTACCTTTATTTTTCAAGAATATTAACTCACTCTAATCCGGCTTGTTCACTTAAGGGTGACCCTTCTCTTAGATCTTTGCTGAAGTTTTAACCTATTATAAAACAACAACAAATGTCTGCTTAGGTGTGAACACGGCTTTGGAAAACACAAGAATGTCTGAAATGGCGCGAGACCATTTGAAATCACGTCCACACTTAACTGCGATCTATTAATAAATAAACTTAGCTGCAGAGGTCGAGATACGACAGTGAAAGTGAGCTCTCACTCGCTTCTAGCTTGTTTCCTTCATTCACTCACGTTTCCAGTAGTTGCCAAAGTTTAATATCTTCCACGTAGCTGAAGCCTAAACTAGCACACAGCTGTAAAGTGAAAGCCAGTGGCTCCATGTGAAAGTAAACACAGTTAGCTCCCTGTGTGCTAATGTTAGCTCGTTGCTAAGCTGCGCGAACATGGTTCTGCATTTTAACGGCTCACCTGCTCTCTTTCACAACCCGAGGGACTTCTGTATGGGCAGAGTTGGCTATAGTCACACTATGGAAACGATACAGGTCCGTTCTGACCGCGTGGTCCAGAACCACAGCACTGGCATGACTGCAATGGTTCGTTCGAGCGAAGTTTTTGTAGTAATCAGGGGCACTTCCGGTGTGTCATTCAAAACAGCATTGTCGTTCCCAGTGAGTTTTTGACCCGCCCACAAATACACCCGATGAATATAAATAGATACAACTATATATATATATATATATATATATATATATATATATATATATATATATATATATATATAATATATATATATATATATATATATATATTTTTTTTTTTTTAGGAATATTATATTCCTAAAAAAATTGGCTTTTTTTAATCCAATATTGTTTGTTGTTTACTAATATTGTTTTTAGTTGTTCCTTTTTCTCTGACCTACTTTTAGCAACAAAAAATAAAATGAACTTATTTTGGCAGCAGTTATATTTTATTTCACAACCATGTCGGAGTAAGTTTCGTTTTCTTTTCTTTTTTTTAACATATGTAAGGCATTAATACAAAAGTTCTTCATAGGAATATGGTAGAACTTTTTTTACCATTGTTTTTTTTCCCTCTTTTTAGACTCTGAGGGACTTGCAAAAGCCAGACTGGATTAATGGACAGTAACAACTGTTAGATCCGCCTCTCTGGCTGCAATGCGCGCTCCCGACACAGGGGGAGCAGATTTTCACAAAACAAAATTTCGCACAAGACCTGATGAAACAACAACCAAGTGACAACCAACGCCTTATTTTCTGAAAATTGTGGTTATAGAGACTCACCATGATTTCATGGTGAGTCTCAAAATTGTCCCAAACTGCGAAACCTTTCGTTTGCCTTGAGGCTCCAGAGTTGACACTGTACCGTAAAAGATGCAAATGCGTCCCGTTTCAGATCCGCTACCTCATAAACAGTTTGGTGCGCCAGTGTCATTTTGAAACATTTCCTGTATGGCTCACATGAAGTTTTGATGGACTTGACGCATGCGCCGACGCATCGGTGTTGCCGGATCCACCACTACAATATTGTATATTATTCTTTATTATTTAACACTTATTGTTTTTTTTTTTTACACTTTAATTGTATTACTCTTAATACTCATAGAGGTCAGAAGGAGTTTACTAAAAACAAATATAGGATTAACAGTAATGTTTATTTTAGGGGATGGAATGTTGATTGGGAGGGACATCCTGTCACCAGAAATTATAAGCAATTAATGATTAGGGTCAGCAATCACTCCATCGATTAAATTTTGACATAAGGGTATTTATATAGCTCTCTGATCTGAGACTGTAGCCATTAAACAGACCAAAGGAAAGAAGATCCTTGGTTATGAAATAAGTAAATTTGCTGCCATTTTACTAATTAAGTCCTAATAATATCTATTTAACCTCTACAACAACTTGACTGTAGACTGATTTATAGATCCAAAAAGCTCAAAGGGGTTAACTCTATATAAATGTTTGATGTTAGCATCTCTGAGACCTAGAATTATTAGACTGGAATATCAAGGCAAAGAAAACTCAGTGGCTGCTGGAAGGGGCCATTCAGGGGCCTCCAGACATTCAGAGGCCCCTACAGATGGTTTAATTTTAACACAGACCATAGATCTAAACCTGCACCATTTATTTATAGAGAATGACAATGTTATTAAATTTTATTTAATGCATTCAGCAGAGAACAAAAAATATACATTTAGGGTTTAATTATGAAGTTTACTTTGCAGATATTTAAAGAATCGTCTTGATAGTTTGTTGTGTTAACCATAGCTACAATATGGTGTAACCTTTGTGTTTGAGTTGGGTTTGTTCACAAATACATCACAGCAAACAATCAATAATCAGTGATTGATTTTAAATTCGGCCAACAAACCTGGTCTCCCTCTCACAGATTGACCTCATCTATATTTAAGCATGTTTGTAATGCTGATAGTATTATTTATACCTTAAATATTATTTTATACACTGAAAAGGGAAGCTGAACCCTCTAGAAGTTGATCAAAATGATTCACAGCCAGGAAAGGAGTTGGGTTTTCAGTTTTACATATAAAACTAAAACATGAAAAGAAACTCCAACAGTTCTTCTACAATGTCAAAACATAAATTCAGTCCAAACCCAGGATTGTTCCCAGCAGATTTGGTCATCCTAAACAAATCAGACAGGAGATGGGACCTTCGTTGTGCTTCCTATTTAGAACAGCTCAGCAGTGTCTGACTTAATAGACTTAAAATGAGGGGGGTGGGGGGAAAGTAGTTGCTTGGTTCTTACAGTGTTTCTTTTGTTTTAGAAAAACAAATATAAAATAGAATCTGCAGATGTCACTAAAAGGAGGATTTCACAAACATTCACCGTCCTTTGAAATGCCAGCATGTTTTTCTGAGAAGAAGAAAAACTAAATACATGTGGTTGATATACTGTAACAGTCCGCTGATGCACTGCAGTACGTCGTCTACTGCATATAGTACAGGAAATTCACCGGAGCTTCTTGGCTCTGCTCGAAAATCCAAAAAATCATGGTGAGTCTCTGCAAACTTCATCTTCACAGCTTAAAGTTCAGTTTATCCCACTGTGGGTCTGGTCAGGTTTGCACCAAAATACTGCTCAGGTCCTCGCAGTCAAAGGCGCGTTTGATTCATTGCCTATCTCTTGTAATGGTTGGGGGCGTCTGCAAACATGTACTTGAGTCTGTAGGCTTCGGCCAGGAGGAGACCCACTTCCTCGTTTCCCCAGTGGATGGTTGGCAGGTTCTGTAGAAGCATCAGGAGGCTCTGAAGGAAAGACAAATTATGTGTTTACATCGACATCGCTCTGGTCAAAAGATGCAGAGAGGAGGTAAACTCGGTCTGCCGAGTTAAACTAAGTTTTGGTCTTCGAAGAATATTTTGTTACAACAACAGGATTCTAAATTAAGAAGATCAATAAAAAAAAACAAAAATATGAAGCTGATGCAGGAATAATTGAACAAGGTCACCAAAGGAGGGAAATGCAGCGTGGAGAAGACGCTCCATTGACCAAAGATGCGTCTTTGTGATAAAAATGGTGAGAAGCAGATTTATAAATCTTTAATTGGGTAAATTATTAATTAAAGACGGGAAATAAAGAATTTAATGTTCTTGTCAGGAAATATGAGGATGTACAGGTGTATGCGGCTGAGCCTCAAAAACAAAATATTAAGGTGAATAAATTAAGTCACTGTAAACAATTTACTGGAGCTTAGACCAGAGATGCGTACACTGAGCAGCATGGATTTGTGACGAATCTTTGCATTTCCATTACAAATCTGCACAAAACTTTGATATGCCGCTAATCTTGGGGGTGGGGGGGGAACGAAACAAAAAAACACAATTGTACAATTGCGGTGTTTCTGTTAAATATGAAATTAATCACATGTGATTAATTTAATTAATGACGAACTTACGTTCGTTCATGATAAACGTCATTACATCTGTTGTTTCCATGATTTTTGAACAGCTACTGGAGATGTATAAGAGTATTTCCATAACAGTTTTGCAAAATAAATCTATTTTGATACGTATATAAAAAAAACACTTTATCCCAGCGCAAAAACTTTTTCAAAACTGGCGTGTTTCCATCCAGTATATTTATTTTCACCATTTCAATTTGTGCAATACAGCGATTAAAGGAGCACTGGCTTGGTGGCAGAAGATGGGACAGACACATGGACCTCGGTGGGGATAAAATAAATTTTTAACACTTTGAGATGGATGTTGGTTGTTTTAAAATAGATGACCAAATATCAATACATAATTATTAGAATTAGAACCAAATTTTGAGGAATGTAGTAGGCAGTGAATATGTGAGTTTATAATAAACATCAGCGGGGGACTGCCACAGTCTAATAAAGCTTAAACATGTTTTTTTAATGGACAAAAAATAAAATAAAATTATATTCTAATCAATATTGGTATTACTTAGCTAGTTTATCAAGAAATGAACCTCTGTCAATGTTAGTGCTTACAGTACTCCTTCAAAATATCAACCTATCAGAATTCGTTCAGCTCTGTTGCTAGATAAATAAAACATTGGGTATTGGAATGCCTCCTGGAATTGTATAGCAGATTTTGAATAACCACTCTATGCTAGCAAGCTATTAGCTGACTAGCATGTTCAGAGACGTTAGAATAACAGAATGTTTTACCATTCCTCGTTTTTCAAGAGTCTTTTCAGAAATATCAGGAAGATTTCCCTAAATAACTTTTTTAAGTTTTTTTTTTTTTGCATTATCATTAAATAAAATCAGAGACTCCTATCAATACCTGAAAGTCAACCATGCAGAGGATTTCTTTGCGCCACTCGATGAGAAATGCAGCACACACATACAGGTGGAAGTGGGAGAAACCTTCAGCTTCAGCCTGTGGAAAGTGCAAACACAGCGAATTGCTACAACACACCTTTACCCAGAAGTCTTTGCTGCAACACCTAGAGATAAATCAGGAGGAATTACAGTCTTAAGGTCCTTTGGTGAATAAAGGACCTAAAAAACTTTGTCTTGAAATAATCACTTTATGCAACGAGTGATTCCCTTAGAATCTCTCCATTAGAAAAGTTAGTATGCAGTAGTGTATACTGAGTTCTGTCTTACTGTATCAAATGCAGTGTTTGAGTTCACTCTTTCATTGGTTTTGGTTTAAACCAGGACAAAGTGAGCTGCAGGATGGACTGATATTCTACAGCAGCATATGGAAGAGTAAAATGTCTACCAGGATACACATGATTTAAAACAACAAAGATCGAACTGTTCGTGTTTTTGCACCAGAAAATATGTGTGTACAGATAAATTGGTCTTTCCTGTAAATATGTGTAAAGATGCACCAATCCACTTTTTTCCACTTCTAATACTGACAAAATAATGACATGATACAGAAACACAGTGCTGAGTTAACTTGAAACGTTTCCTTAAAAAAACACAAACAGAAAAAACACAAACAAAAAAAAAACACAGATGTAAATGTTGTGAATTACAAATATACTTGATGACTCTGCCCCAATACTGAGCATTTAAATACACGAATAGCTTCACAAGCTTCATCAAACTTGTAAAAACAACTTAACTTGAATTTGTTTTGTTCTTTTATTTGAACAAATTATAGTTGCAAACTAGTATAACGTAAAGTATAACTGCCAATGACAAGAACAATAGGCCTACTTCCTTGGTCAAAAATGCAAAAAAAAAAAAAAACCCAAAAAACAAACCAAACAAACAAAGAAACTCTTCCTTCAAATGATTCAGAAAATGCAAATAGGAATTCTAAAAATATTGTTAAATGAAGCACGATGACGCTCAGAGCACGAAGCATGGAGTCAGACTGAATAGCTCTGTCCTTATGGATTGGGCACATTGTCACCGATTCCTGATCTAGAATTTTTTTCAATATTAGGACTGATACAGATATTAATATGACATCGGTGCATCTCTAACAACATGCAGCAGCCTTCTTTCAGCCAGCTGAACAGCAGTGTACAGAAATTTATTTATTGCTATCTGAATGGAATCAGATCGCTCACAACCAAAATGAATAGAAATGACGTTTCCACCTCAAAACCACAACTGTTTGGGTTTAACTGGTCGGTCCCGTTTTGCATTTGTTTATTCACACTGTGAGGCAAATGAGAGTCATCAGGCAAAGAGACAGACATCCCCCTCCTATTAGCTGCAAAGCTCATCGGATGCAGATCCCAGACGTCAGAGCGTGTCTACAAAGATAGCAACACTCCAATTCAAAGGCTGGTGCCAAACACACAGCAGATACAGAGGACAAAAAAACAGATCATGAGTAGAAACAGAAGAACATTTGACTCTTAGGAACCATAACCACAAAAACTAATTTGGTATTTGGGTGAGAAATAATTCTATTTTTTTATATATATAATTCTTCTTTTTCCTGCTAAGCAGATTGTGTGTAAACCAGCGAATCATCGCCCTCTTAAAGGCTGGAGTGAAAACTAGATCTCTAAATGGAAAGCTGAGGCTCAGCTTAGCTAAAAATAAAAATTAGGTGTGTTTGCTTATCTGCAAGCTCCAAGATGTTCCATGCACTGGAGCAGAGCTATGCCAAGACTTTTAATTGGTTGTCCCAACACATTATCAAGAAATGAAGAAAAAAATTAATATGAGCAAGAAGCTAACAGGAGTTGAGAAATGTACAGATCATTTTCAGGTGGATTTCTTTTTTTCTCCCCCAGTTCATTAGTTTTCAACCAAGTGACTATCCAGGAACATTTCTACGGCTGGGGCACACGTTTCATGTCTTAAGAGAATTAGAGTGAAAACCTCAGTTGGTTAGAGCAGAGGAGGAAGCTCTGCCACTTATTCTTGATCAGACTTTTCCTGTCCTGACCGACAGGCCTGCCTGTTACTGATGTGACCAAATCTAAAAATGTTCCTCACCATGTTAACAGGTACTGTGATTGTTTTATAAACAAACTGCTCCGAAGCAGGAAGATGAGTAAAGCCCAAAGGACGGGGAGTATCCGTCCAATATTAAAATCTGCATCGGTCTTGATATTGAAAACAGTTTCAGACAGGATGTCGCTGACAATGTGTCTGATCAATAAGGGCGGATCTATTCAGTGTAATTATATACTTCGCGCTTTGAGTGATGTCATGCTTTATTTATTCTACATCAATGTAAACAATTGCACTTTCTGAACCATTTGAAAGAAGGTTTGTTGCAGTTTATTTTTTACATGTTCGACCAAGGTAGTCAACCTTTTGTTTTTATCAGTTTCAGTTTCTTTATTATTTGTTTTACATCGGCTGTGATGTTATTTTTTTTTACATGTTTCACCAAGCTTGTGAAGCTACTGGTGTATGAAAGTGTGATGCTCTGGTGCAGAGTTTTCAAATACATCTGTAATTCAGTACATTTATGTCTGTGTTTAAAAAAAAATAAAAAAATAAAAGAGAGAAAAGTTTTAAGCAAATTCAGCTGTTTTCCAGCATCGGAATTGATCAATACTAAACCTCAGGTATCTGTGGTGAAAATAGTGGATCGCTACTAATCACTACTAGCATTGAGTTCTTTTGTGCATGAGCACGGTGAGGAATACTGTGAGGAAGTCCTGAATATCCAAATATCTGAAGGAGAGAACTCCACCTGGTAGGTGTCCCACAGACGAATGGTACAACGAAGTGGCAGCTCCCTCATCAGCAGGTTGTTCATCCATCGAAACGCAAACTGCAGGTACTCCACCTCGTATTTCTTAAAATGATTGTGAATATCCACTGAAGGCAGAAAAAAAAGCGATTTTTTAAAACTTATTTCTCATGATTTCTGTTGGACTGAACAATTCTTCGTTCATCTCCTCACCATCTATCCGGCTGACCAGCTCCTCCAGAGCCTTCACCTTGTTCTGGATTCCAGGCTGGGCGAAGGTGTAGTTGTCCTGGAAGATGGGCCGTGTTATTTGACAGGAACACAGACAAATGACCTGCAGCCTGCGAGCCAAGTGTGCGTCCTCACCTGTATGCCATCCAGGAGCTTGCTCATGCACCAGAAACTGTCAGCCTCAATGTTTCTTTGGGTCTCCAGAGGCAGAGCCGCCACATCAAAGTTCTCCACGTCTTCCGCTAGGATGAGAACGAAAAAAACTATTCAAAGATTCTTGTATAGTAGCCATATTGTGAAGGAATCAGCTCGTTTTCAGCTTGACCAGTTAACAGAGCTTATTGGTCCCCCAAAACCTGATGAAACACCGGACAATTCTATGTCCCGCTGCTAGCACTTAGCGACAACTCGTATGCGGAAGTGACCGCGCTGCCCTCCACAAATAATACAGCACACTAAATAATAGAACATAATTTAACGAAGCTTTGAGGCAGATAAATTTTCCTCGAGAAATTTTAATAATCGAGGTACTCAAATCATGTGAGGAATCGTTACAGCCCTAGTAGTTTATTTAAACTACCGTATGAAATCTATTTTATTCTTTTCAAAATTCCATTTTATGTTTTCATATTCCAATTTCTCAATTTTTATTGTTCTGATTTTCTTTTTTTTTTTCATTTTAACTGGACTTAAATCAACACAATCATTGTGTGAATGAAACCAATCCACAGTTTCATAAATATAACAGACTGCTGTGGTGAACAGAACATTTTTTTACAAGGTATTAGATAATTATTTCCCCTCATTTCTTTGAAGAGCTCAAACCTTCAATGTTGTTTTTACAATAAAAGGAAAATCTCCTGTTTCAAAATGCTTTGGAGTTGAACTGAATACCAAAATACTTATCACATAAAAAAAACAAGCAAAATAAAAACTTGCTCTCACTTCCATAATGATCAGAATGTTTGTTCATTTTTATTTTGTCCACTTACAGTGAAGTAATGACTGTCAGTGTTTTGGCGTTCAGCCTTCGTGTTCCTGCGACTGCCTGGGTGCAGGTCATTCAGGCAACACTTTTAACTGATAATGTTCAGCGTCAGGAAGTGCTGCTTTATCAGTTTGAGCTTTCAGGCAGGACATGCTGGAACGTTAAAGCATTTTGCACATCTCAGGGTTAAATCTCTCGAGAGAGCCAAAATGCAATTTGCCTTGAAAAGATACGTTTTATATTAACATGTACTAAATAAAACATATTTTCAAAAGTAAGTAAGACGCACATTAATTAAAGAGAAGACTGAGGAGGATTTTTATTTCTATAGATGTACTAAATTTAACATATTTTGGAAAACTAAGTAAATAAACTCATAACTATTTCTGTTTTCAGATCAAAATGGATCAAACTTTTACAAAAAAAAAGCTTTTGCAGACTGAAGCCAGCAATGCACAACATCCTAAGTATAAGAGAAACTAGAATCATCATTACAAGCAATCAGTTTTTCAAAGACAGAAAATCGGACATCAGGAATGAAATTCATTGCCCAGATCAGTGCATCTCTGTATTAAAAAAAACAACTTATAATACTCAAGAGCATAAATAAACTTACTGACAAACTCGGACAAGAAGACAACAAAAAAAGGTGTGACCAGGTCGTTGATCCCTTGGACGTAACCGCTGGCTGGATGACGGATGGCCCAGATAAACAGAATTCGCTCAAAAACCTGAAGACAAAATGACAAAATTCTGTTTTAAAGGAACATCATGCTGAGGGGAACTGAACGCTCTGTTCCATTTTCTCTTTGTTGCAATTTTGTAGCCGTTTCTCAGGGCGAGTTTGTTGCTACATCCCAAACTTTCAACCTGTGTCCACCTGTTAGAACAGTCAAATTTCGACTCATTATCTCCACATTTTTGTACAAATCTCAACAAGTTTCAATTGTAGCATCATAAAATGAGATTTGAGGAACTCAGTCATGCTTTGTCTCAAAGTGAACTTCCTCTTTTTCTCCTCAGTGACTCAGCAAGACAATATTTCACCAACTTCCTTCAGGTTACATTTTTTAGTAGTATCAGGTCTAGTCATCTAGTAATTTGAAGTGTTTGATTTTCGATGTGTGAAGCTGATACTTCCAATTTGATGAGTACAATTCTGAAATTGCTCTTAGCTTCAAAGTGTTACAATTTCTGATGCTTTTTAGATACGTTTTTTTCCCCCACAAAACAATGAAGAAGAATCGGTTACAAAGTGAATTAGTTGCATCGTCAGTTTACACATAAAGCTTTCAAGACTCGAGAGTTATCCAGACTCTAGTTTCCTGAACATTTACTGTAAATCTGCAGTACAGGCTCGATTGTTATTAAAGTTGGACCGAGTTTGAAATGAGTGAGTTTAAAATTTTCTACAATACAAATTAAAGGTATTTAAATTTTTGTATACAGCATAGATTTATTTTTCCCTGGAAAAGCTGAATATATTCAGAATACACATGCACACATTTAGATTTTTTTGTTTTCATTTTTTGACAAAATGTCAAACATTTAAATGTAGAAAACAAAAATGAATCCACCAACTTGTCACAGAACATCTAAATAAATTGTGAAGATGTAATTTTGTTAAACTGAAATGAAACTTTTTCTTTTAAGCCTTTTTGAGGTAGCTGAGCCAGGAGTTTTCCTCCTCCAAAAAGGCCTGTAGTACCACTGATCTAAAGCTGAACCTTAAGCTCTCTGGCCGCTGGATTTCTACTGGACCTCACCTCTTGGACAGCAGGCTGCTGGAACAAAGGGATGAGCGGGTTGGTTCTTGGAATGTCAATGTGGATCTGCCAGAAATAAATAATGAAACTTAGGCGATGGTAGGTGGGCGCAACATGTCTAATTCATTAAAAGTTATAGCATAATGTTTCCCCACTATACAGATGAGATCTTTACCTGTCTGTATGTGTCTTTATAGTGCTCATCTGTTCTGGAGTGATAGTATTGCTCTATGAACCCAAAATACTCTTCTCTCTTTCTCTTCAGTACCAGCTCTCTGCGCTCCTTGTTGGCCGGCAGGTAACCCTGAGAGAAGCAAGAACAGAAAAAAAACTTTTCTTTCTGGGGAACAGAACAAGCTGGCCGAAGGAGATAAGAGCAGAGGGAAGATAAGGCTGCCGCTGAAACGCACAGCTGCTGACACCAAATGAACAGTACTGGATAAACAAACTAAAAAAAATGGTCTTTTAGTACTGAGTTGTGAGTTATGCGATGTTGCAAAACTGAAGGTCGTAAGCCTTACAGAGAGAAGCCTCCACGTGATTGGCCGGACTTCTCTTGGTATTCCCGACCAGCTGTGTTTCCGCAGTTCTTCTGTGATGGCAGAGAGCAAAACAGGCCAATCAGATCAACGCTCGGTTTCACAGTAAGTCCAGAGAGCAGCTGCTTCAGCTGGCTGCAAGTCAGAGGGAGCTATACTGAATTCCTTTTCTTGAACACGTTTCATTAAGGACTAAATAAGTTTTCCTCACAGACTCTGAACGATATGTGGAACTTTTATCTGCACAGCAGAGCAAATGAGGACAGTGGTTGATTTTTAGACATTTGTGAAGGTAGATAAGATCAGTAACTTTCGGCTGATCTCCCAAAATTAAGGAACTTGGCGTCAATTTATCAGTCCACTCCTAAAAACATCAGAATAAAATTCATATATATATATAGGACAGTTAGGGGTATCGCTGAGCATGTGGAACTGAGTAAGGAATCATGCAAATACCTTTCCCTCTTCAACAGTACCTAAGTCAGTGTTGGGACTGGCCAGCAGCTGCTTGAATTTATCCAGCCGGCTTTTCTCCCGCACCGTCATGGGTGGAGCCCCTGACGCATTCTGATCCGAGATACGAGCCACCAGAGGGATGATGGGACGCACCGGGAGAGACTGCTGCTTCTGCAGCGAGGAGCGGACTGAGGAAAAAACAACAAACAAAAAAGAAAACTGGTAAAAATTCTCGTCAGATAAAAGAACACAGTATCTGAACAACCTCTGTGTTTTGGTTTTGTGACTTAAATAAGATCAAAGAATTGATTTGCAACAGCTTGAATAATCAGTGTCCAGGGGACGTCTGAGCAGAGGTCCAGGTGTTCAGTGAACAGCCCATAACTATTCATGTGGCAGATGCTTTTCAATATGAAGCTGTACACAACCTGTGCATTATTCAAAATATTCACCCAGCAACCCACAATGTGCCTGCAGGTCACAACACAGATACACAACTGTGCAAAAAGTTTCATATCCACATATTCTGTAGATATAGATTCCAAAGCAAAGACATTTGAAGGTATGTTTCTTGGAAAAGAATTTCCAGCTATTAAACTCTCTCACTTTTATATTCATATTCAAGAAAAACATAAAATTTAATCTATTATAATGCAATGTCTGTGTTAAGGATCACATTTTGAAATGGCTCCATTGTCATCTGGGAATGTGTTAGAGTGGTTTCCTATCTACAATCACCAAACACTCAGGTACTGCAGTCGAAACCTGTGTATGTGGGAGATCAGTCAATAATTCAGAGACAAAGATCAATTCTAAAACATCACAAATAATGGAGATTGATCACACCTACGGATCTCTACAAGGTCATATGTATGTAGCCATGCGTCTCAGCAGGGGTTGGCACTGCTACTTAAAAATTTTGTTTTGCTTAATGTTAATTAAGCGGCACACCAACATGCTATTTAGCAGAAGCTAATGCTAAAGCACTGACTTTTGACATTATTTTAACATGACCTTATTTTATATTTATTTCTTGTTTGAAATAATATTAGGGGAAAAGAAGAGAGAACAAGAGGAAATGAAACTGAACTGCTGCACCCAATTTGAAATAAGTCAAAACTTCAACAAAGATGTCGAATTTTATTCAACTTAAAGATTATTTATTGGAATGAACTGATTGATTCCTTTGTACTATTTGAAAGACGCTTTAGCAGAGAGCTTTGTGATTTATTATGACACATATTTGTCTTGGATAAGCTTTTATATTTAGACTCCAAGACGTATGGGTTTGTTACCCAGTTTTGTTAATCACTTTGGACTTTTTTTTTTGTCAGAGAACATTTCCAATGATTAACAGAATACCAGCAGTAAAACAAAACTCCTCTACCACTTCAAATATTTAGTGGTTGTGTTTGTGGACTGGGACGTGTCCCGTCAGGCATATATTTAAGTCCCGATAATCTCTACAGACCTACCTGCAGTGTTAAGTCCCTTCTAACAAAGTCCATAATTAGTTTGAGCGTGTATCACAAGAGAACTCAGAAACTCTTTAAGCAGAATGAATTGCTACATGATGTTTACAACACACCTGAGGTCGTGTTGAGATCTGCGTCACTACTGGACTTTACAAATTTGCCATTGACACGCTCACACTCTGAGCTGTCGTCCCTTTGGGAGTTGTGACCCTCGTCCCTGGGTGGAGTCAGTATGTGAGGCAACACATGCTCCGTTTCACCCGTCTGATGCCGTCGTTGCTAAGTGGACAAGGAAATAAACAGAACACACCTGGATGAGAATCTCTCACCATTCCAGACCAGCCTGTAGCTTTTCAGTGATAAACAGGAGGTTGTGTAGATACCTGGTTGTGTATAGATGTCAAGTCCGGGCCTGAAGGCGTAAAGGAAGCCGAGAAGGGTGTCCCGCAGAAGTTTTCATCCTCCTCATCGTCAATGTCCCAAGCATCATTTGTGCTGCAAGCAAACTCATGGAAGCTGCAAGCTTTTTTAGACTTAAGGTTGTTGAATTTGGGTTTTGAGTCTTTTGGGTACCTGCAGGTTGGAATAATGAACAAACAGGAAATGAAAAAAAAGATCTAAGACATGGTAGATACTATTGATGGATGAATTTCAGTTTCCACTCAATAATGTCTGATGGACCAAGTCATCAGCTGGTGAGGGGAAAATCAGACCATCTTTTCAGCTTAGCAGCCCTATTGAGTTATCTACTGACAGGAATCTAAAAATAAAAAAAAATGACTCTCTGGGCAAAGACACTACAAGTACATACTAGGGCCAGACTAAAAGATTTTTTTTCTAAATAATGAAATTAAAGTGATCATATTTATGACAAAAAAGTCCTAATTTTAGTAAAATAAAGGCACAAAGTTACCAGACGAAAGTACAAGAAAAACAGTTGTTTTAACAAGAGCAAAGCTTTTATAGTTATAAAGCTGTAATGTGACCAGATTGTCACATTACAGTCATTCAGAACAGACTCAGTCATTGCTCAATCATTTCAAATTCCTGCTGATAATAATTTTATAGTGATGTGTTAAAAGATTAAGTATGTCCTATTTATGAAACTGGTACCAAAGTACAACTTCATAAGATGCTATTCATCAAGGAGTTATCATAAAATTACTACTTCATTCTTCTAGTATTCTAACTTTCTGATAACACAAATTTATTGTCGTTAATTTGGCTTTATTGTTGTATGACTTCTCAAATTATGACGACCTTATTCTGGTAATGTTATGACTTTATTCTTCTGCTATTACGACTCTTTCCCGTACTATTACAACCTATTCCTGTAATATGATGACATTCATTTTTTACAGTTTTTTCCTAGCCTGCCCGTAACACTCCATTGCAGGGAAACACAATTGTTGCCAGGACATATTCCCAATGCTCTTCTGTGGTAAAGTTGCTACTTTGAGAATCAGACTAAAAGTGACCTACTTTCAGCACAAGACAACTTTTTAAAAATGATTCCATTGATTACTAAAAAAGCATAAATACACCTTACTTATCACTTTATAAGTAAAACTAATTACTGCCAAAGTTTACAATCCATTGAAACTCCCATTGTGTTATTGTTTTAAGAGACAATAACATTACGTCCGTCTTATTATCCATCACAAACATCTTTATGGTTGAATCAAAGTCCTTTCTCATTCAAAATCTGGCTGGGGTATGAATAGTTCCGAGCTAAAATGTACAATGTTTAACATTGGACACTTCAAATTTGAATAATGAATTCAAATTTTTCCATAACAATTCAAGGCAGAAAGCCTAAAAAGAAATATTCTGCACTTCTCTTACTCAAAGAGAAGTTGGAATGGCTGTAATTTTAATTTTTCTGTTGGAGTTTTTCAAAAAACAAAAACAAAAAAAACAAACAAATGTGAATTAAGAAAAAAATAATAATCTAATTGATGCATCTCAAAATAATGCAATAATGTAAAAGAAACATAAAATACTGGATCCAAAAGCAGGACAAAAGCAAAATGTAGTAACTGAAACTGTTGGGTCACAGTTTCACAGCATGCAGTACACAAATGTACTCAAAATATGGAACGACTGCAAAGACCGGTAAAAAAGACAAATTAAATGCGTCCACGTGGCATGCAGCAGCCCAGGCGTACACTGAGCACTTACGTGCGTCGCAAACGGGGATCGAGAGGTGGATGCTGTGCTCCATAAACTGGTTGCACGCTGTGGATGATAATGTAAAAATGCAGTCACCTCGACGTGGAAAAACACTTGTAGCTAACCTGAGGGTAAATGTTCGCATCCATCTTTTAATGATTGCTCAGAGGAATGCTGGTGATGGTACAAACTGCCTTTCATGGCTTTTCTTCCCTCCAAAAGCTCATTTATTATCTCAATTGTTCTAAACATGACCGAGTACAGACTCAAAATTACAGCATTAAATTTGATTCTCCCAGTCATATGTGAGAATTAAATCAGGTTAGGAAGAAGAGGTTTCCACAGTTGGGTTTGGGACTCCATTTGCTGTCAGGTGTAATATCCAAGTCGGGGTTTTCTTCAAACCATCTTCAATGACAAAAATGACAATTTGTTTTCTATAAATGTTGAAAAAGATAAAATAGCACAACAGTATAAATTAAAGCATCCTACTGACCAACATATTGGCTGTTGACCCCAACTGTTTTCTCATTGTAGCACTTTTTAACTAACTTAGTCAAAATGTTTACATAGCAACCAGGAGTCAGGGTCACTGAACTCTCATGTTTTCATTTTGTGACTCAGAAACTGAACATTTTAGGAAGCTCTGGCCCACATGCATCTGTCTCATTTCATTTTTCTACATATACAGTATATGATGATATTTTGTCCCTTCAGAGGAATGTTCCTCTGAAGGGACAAAATTTGGTATTTTGTATTTTGAGTGACAGAATCAAAGTCAGAAAGTGTTGTGTAAAGTAGAATTTGTTTAGTTTCAGTATTTTTGTTGACCACTCTTTCCTTTTAGTCAGACTGTAGTTCTGCAGTAAACAGAAGTAGCCGACAGCTTGCAGGGCGGCCATGTTGTTCCCTTCCCTGTGGTGGGCAGTATGCTCAGCAGACAGCACAAACTTAAAAGCTCAGCTTTCTATTTCCCTTCCAACTCTCTAGCAACAGGGAGCAATCGAGGAAAAGTCATAATTCCCATTTCTTCCTTTGTTTCTTCAAAGAAATCTAAAGAAATGTCGCCCCCCTCAACAGCCCCGTAGTGCCTTGTAAAACTCTCCACAACTCTTAAACCAAGGGTGTCCAAAGTCTGGCTTGGTGGCTATTTGCTGCCCTTGTAGTGATTCTGGGAGACCCTCGATTGCAACACAAAACTGACACAAAATTGGTTTCCCAGCTCAAGGTTAGAAGTTTTAAAAGATAAGAATTTGGATCAAATTGCAAAAAAAAAAAAAAAAAAAAAAAAAAAAAAAAATATGCACACGTATTAAAGTCTTCTAAAAATAAAATGTACAATACAAAGTACTCATCCTTCAACAGCCATGTTTTTCACTTTTATGTCAAATTAATATAAAAATGGGTCCGAGTCTGGATTAAACCTGGCTAGATAAAATCATTAAATGAACATCACAGGAAGTCTTGTTACAGTTTTCCACAAGCCCTGCAGAGGACATAGCAAGGTATAAAAACACAATTAGCCCTTCTGATGTAGAAAACAAGTCACACTGTGACCATGAAAGACTGATCTGACTGGCGGCGTTTTGTTGGAATAGCTGACAGTAAGCCTTGTGGCTGGGAACTGGAGCTGCTGGTTATCTGGCAGAGTTATCTGCTAGAGTCTGTTGTTTACAACCGTCATGCTGGCTTAATCAGCAGCAGCAGCAAGGACAGGGAGCGAGCGCAAACCCCCAGTCTTCCTGCTCAAACATCTGTTGGTGTCCAACCTCCACGGTTAGATCCGTCTGTGGGACAGAGAAAGAGAGAGACACGCCCTCTCCTTGGAAATCCTCTCCTCTCGGGTTTCCCAAACAGACTCAGCTCCTGTTTTCTTCCTGGCCCGCCCTCTGACAGTTGAAACCAACACATCAGCCTGTCAGTCAGTCATAAAAACATACAGTTCAGCTCTTTTTAACACGGTCCAATGAGTTCTGATTGCCGCGTGTGCCAGAGGACCTGGAGGCAGTACCTTAGTGGGTAGTTGTGATGTTTGCTGGTCCTATATTTGAGATGACAAATGAAAAACATATGCAGCAATGCACGTCCATTTGTATTTTAAATAACTCTTTGAATTTTTTTATTTATTTAAGAAAAAAACAGGTAATTTAATTCAGAATTTTATGCATATATGAATTTCTGTTTAAATGAGGGGTGAACTGATCAGCCAGCCGGTTTATCAGCGTTGATTTTCCCTAATGTTGTTTACTTTTACCAACATGTTTCTTCTCACCAATCGTGAAAAGATTTTAGATTCTGGCAAACAATTTGTGGTGGCTGACGGCAGACAGTGTCGGAGCCTTCTTTCAGCCAGCTGACAAGCAGTGCATAGCAACATTTAAGGAGGGACACAAAATCACAACAGTATTGACATTTGTTGCAGTTTTTAAACTGTAGCTTTTTAAAACTTGCTGGCAACCAGCCTGTGACTAAGTGTTTTAAATGCCCATCCATCTGCTGTGTTTGTTTCTACAGTAGGATGGGTGGAAAAGAAATCACTGATACACAAAGCTACAACTCATAATGAGAATTGGGGGGGAAAGAGCTTAAAGTGTTATTTCACTTCATGATCCTAAATGGAGGCTCGCTGAGCTCCAATTTAAAGCGGTATTTCTAAATGAGGGTGAATGGAGTCCATTGTGTTGCAGCAGCTGTCGGCACAAGAAGCATACGGCGGGCGGATGGTGACAGATGACACCCCCACTTTAACGCAAACCGCAGAGCATAAAGTGATGGAGCTCAGTCATCTCTTAGCCGACAACACAGTCAAATGAAACATCTCTGACGTGCCAGATTGACTAAAAACGACAGTAATTCGCGCATTTAACTTCAGGCAGTTACGTCAACCGTTTATTGTCAACCAAAGACTCTTATTTCTACACATATTGAGCTTCTCTCATTGTGCGCCAAAACACCGCTTCCCTGTCGATTTTTTCTGACAACAATTGTCCGGCCGAAAAGTTAGTACTGGGTGGCAACTATGTCTGGATAAGAATGAGATAACCAACCTTCCGGGAACCTTAGTGTTTCTCCTCCAGAAATTGATCCTGTTGTCGGTGGCCATACTCGGATAGCACAACCCGCTTCAGCCCAACACCGAGCCCGGCTCCGCGTACCATGAAAGCTCGACAGGGTGAAAGGGGAAGGGACGGCTTCCGTGTTTCACAGCGCAGCCCCGCTCAGCTCTCCGCGGTCAGCCTCGGGGAGAGTTCAAATGATCCGGAGATAAGGCGATGTCTGTCGTTCTGCTGCGAGGATGAGCGAAGCGGCTCACTGGAAGCCGCCATCTTGGGGAGCAACGGTCGAAGCGCGTGATTGGCTCGAGGGTCGAACAGGTGCGATGAAGGTGGCCAATAGCAGCAGATGTTGTGCTGGGAAAAAGGAGGAAGAACAAAAATAAAGAAATAAATGGGTAGCGAAAGGGTGTACTCAAGGAAGAGTAGCAGTACCTCATCATATTTTTAAGCAAGTAAAGGTAAAAAGTAGACCTGTAATTACTCAAGTCAGAGTAAAAAATATCTGATTTAAAATAATGCAGACAGACAAATATATAAAGTTGTGATTATTCTGGTGTTTTGAAACCAAAATGATGCCCCAACTTTACAAAATGTAAAATGCAAATATGTTTCTCAAGTTTGATGGACATTTATTTATTCAAGTGGGCTGACCACCTGCAGAGAAGAATGTAGGTGTATGAGTGGTAGGAGACAATATGGATCATAGTGCACTAAGTCCTGATGGCATAACCTGGCCTTGGGGACATGGAATATCTCACCTCAGTGGAATGCTGCTGGTTTCAAAGTCACTTCCTGGTTTCTGCCAACCAGTGCACTGTGCATACTTTGGAAAGTAAACATAAACATACAATGTTTCTATAATTACTTAATGTACAAAATACCAAAACTGGGCTGATTTGATATTAGAGAACAGTTTCCATAAATTTCAAATATAGTGAATCTCCTAATTTTATCCTGCTATCATTTCAGGGACAAAATGTAAAATGAAAAAACAGAAAAGCAAATAATTGTTTGCAAGAAGATCGAGCTCTTGCATTTAAATGTTGGCCTCATCAAAACACCTCTGAATTAAATTTTGCCTTTACTGGTTTCTTTTGATTGTAAAATATGGATAAATATACTATCTTCGTGTGTTGTAAACATACTGGAATTTTATTTTCTGTCTTGATGAGCTGCCTCATCAAGACGGCTCAATTCCTGTAGACTCCCGGGTCAGGCAGGTTTGGCACATATAGGGTGAATGTTGACCCTCCTGCCCCTTATCCCAGACACCTCACTGTTTGTGGGTCTATTTCCCTTAGAAACATTCATGTCTTAATGAAGCAGCCAAACAAAGAATCAAAAGTCATTTTTGATTGTCATTATTATTATTACAAGAGCCTTGTAATGGGAAAGTAGGTGCTTCACTGTAGAGATGTTTTCTGGCTTACCTGATAGCAGTCTGTAGTGTGTTATGATAAAACATCTGACTGTTCAAGTGGCTTTCAGCTCAGCTGATGCCTGTATGTTCATAGATTTGTTGAAATGAATAAGTATGTAACCCAGATCCACCCCTTTATTTATTATTTAACCAGCACCATCTGGCGCTCCTATCAAATAGGCTCCTATCAAAGCCTATTTCTCAGTCTTGAGGAATCCCTCTTTTCTTTGCATTTTGCCTCAAAGAAATCAGAGTTCAGTTTTTTAAACTGAACGGTAGTTCTTGGTTTTCCAAAGATTGCTATAAGTTTGTTCCAAAGGTATCAATTCTATCTGGGATCTATGTACCAGGCATGGTCAAAATTATAAAAACATCTTTAAATGAATATGTATATATGTGTAGATATAGCCAATCACCTGAATGATGCAGAAGGTTGTGGCCCTCATCTGATTCAACCTTAGAAACAATTTCCAGATGTTTGAAAGTGCTGCTTACATCTGTCCAAACAATTATATGCAAGTATAGAAATGATGGGAAGGTCCAACCATCATACCGGTCAGTAAGGAGATTGGTTCTTTGACTAAGAGACAAATATGTTTTGGTATGAAATGTGCAATTTGACCGTAGAAGAAAAGCCAAAGACCTCATGAACACACTGGCTGAAGCTGGTAAGACAGAGTCATTCTCCACAGTGAAACATGTTCTGTACACATCAAACTTGACTCAGTTCCAAAGTTCAGTCAGGAGAAATGGGCCAGAATTTCAGCAAAACTCTGAGAGAAGCTCATGGAAGGACGTCCATCATGTTATGTTTCACCCCAGGCCTACAGTTTAAAAGTAACGCAACAAAACACTGAGAAAAAATAGCTTCTGCTCTTCTGTTTTTGCTTCATTTAGCAAATAGAAGTAATTATAGGAATTCTAACTGACCTTTTGTCTGTTTATATGTAGTCCAGCACACACTGGACTGCATTTTGTAAAGCTTCTCCCTCAGTTCCAAACAAAGAAACTTTTAATACTTCAACATAATGTTCAAGTGTTCCTGTTTCTGCATCATAAGTGGTTCCTCACTTCCCACAAACTGGTAGCATTTTTACTACACCAATAAATTGGTCCTGATTTCCTTAATTTTGAGTGATCAGCAGATACTTACAGGTTGAGCCTAGTTACCTCCGCAAAGGTTTGAAGGTAAGCCAGTGTCCCCTTTTGCCCACTAGGACAGGTGTGAGTGCGTGCAGTTAACAGTAGTTACCCTCTTGACAACTTTGACTTTTCAGACAAAAGTGAATTTTTGCTTTGCCCAAAATCAAAATTAGCAGGTCAGGCCAACTGAAAAACTGTAAATGGTGCATACTAATTTTTATTCAATAAAAGGGTGAACTTGTAGGCTTTAGAGCTTGAAAGAATTCTTGCACAGCAAGATTTTGTCTCTGATCAAATAAAACTAAGATACACAAGTAAGCTGAGATTGTAGTCATAGATGTATGATCAATACTGTATGATGCTGTATCAAGACATATGTCCCTAACCCGTCATCTGATTCTCCTCATCTCAAAACTCATCATCAGAGAACATACTGCTAGATAAACCTTCCACAGGCTGAAAAAAGTAGTTTTCCATTTTAGTGCATTCAGTAAGAAGGAAAAAAAAGGTTATTAAGAACTGAACTTGGCTGTGATAATTCAGAGCAGATTTATCGCAAACGAGAACCTCTTCACACCACTATGAGTTTGCAAATCAAAATACTTCCCCTGCTTGGTGACCTTTAAATCTTATCTGGCGCTGACACTTCTTTTTTCTAAGACGCTGCATTTACAGCGTGATGCCACAAGGGGGCAGGGTTTCTCCGCTTTAAGAATAAAAAAACAATTTCGGTCAGAATGAAACCAGTCCAGCTGCCTCCCTATTTACAGTAAATGCTTGACTTTTCGGTTAACCACGGGCTGTGTCAGCATTAGTATTCCCAATAATGTTGTGTTTCTCCTGAAACAACTTTAGGGTGAACAGCATGGAGTGCAGCTGCTGTGTAGTTCAGAGGAGCGCAGTAAATCCCAGTGTCCAGACGTTCCGTTGGTGTATTCAAACATAGGCAAATGGAGGGCGTTGTAGACATGCTTTGGTTTAGTTGTGTATTTGAATGGCAGGTGCTGTTTCTGTGTCTGTTTAGGGAAATAACAGAAGGCTCCTCCCACGTGCCCTCACCTCCAACCGACATCAACTGACAACAATCCAGGTGAGGTGCCTCCCCTGCTGTGCTGCTTGTCTACATGGTTTGAGTTTTAAACTCAGAAAGAAGTGACACTGTGATCCTATTATTAGCAGAAAAAGGAAAGAAAAAACGCCTCATACACACATTTTCTTTTTCCGGCTGGACTATAAAAAATTTACTTGAGCTTCATTTTTTTCCAGAAGTTTGCCTCTGTGGTGTTTGGAGTGGGAAGCCATGGGATAAAACGTTCAAGCTGAAGAGAAGATCCGCTCAGTCACAAGGCAGAACTATGAAGAACTGTGTGGGATGCCTGGAGTTGCCCGGGGGAACAACAGCTTGCCGAATGACTCTGCTTTTATGTTGTACTTTTACCCTCATACTTTAATTTAAGATTATCTGTCCTTGCTTTAAATTCTTCTCTAAATACACTGATGTTTAACTTTGAACTTTCCAAAGCATGCCTACATTCCTACCTTTGCTTCTGAGGAGCACGCCACAGGCTGAATGCAATCAGAGCGAACATAAATGTGCTTTTCCATGGAAATATCCCCTGTGAGATTTTTGCCCCTCAGCCTCATTTTTGTGGATGTGACCCCCCATGTTTTCGCACTCCTTCTCCACAACCCATGCAAGGACAGCATCGTGACTCTCCTCCTCAGCGCCAAAGTATCACCAAAACCAATCAGTCTGCATTCTTTAAGAAAAGAGGATCTTTTCTTTTGGTGTGTCTTATCCTGTGATCTTGACGTAGAGTTTGTAGAGTTGTTTATGAAGAAATTAGAAGGTTTTCAACGTTGAAGTCGGAGCATATTGCAGTTTTTGTAAGCTGAGGTAAGCTGATGATTTATTTTTTATATCTTTATTTTCATGACACAGGAGTTTTAAACTTTCTACATATACATTATTTGTTACGGATCTACCAACGCAAGACTCCTATTTGTATTATCTGATTATAACAAATCCAATTCGGTCGGAATGAAACCAGGTTTCATTGGACTACTTTCAGTCCATTCCCTGATTTCCCGCAACTTGAAGAAGTTGTGGGAAATCAGTGCTTCCTCAACTTCAACTTTTTAGTACTTTGAATTTGGTGGCTTTCCTGCTGTAGGCACATGGTGATGTCCAGCCAAGTTATTCTGCAGGGTGACGGGTCATCACTTCCACTGCCCACTCACTCTGACTGGGACCAGGCCATGAAGGATTGTGGATTCTCAGAGAAAGGTCAGTCCGATGCCTCAGAAAGAGGAGGCCTGTTTGTGTGTGTCTGTTGGACATTTCAGATTTGCATGTTACAAGTCTCTACTTCATCCAGTTCTTAATTTCCGGGCCTGTATGTATAATGTACTGAGTAAATTATTCCTTCTCGCGTCATTAGAGGTTTATCCTGAAGGGAGGGAAAAAATGTGTTTGGCCTTTAAGTGGCAAGAAGCCGGTTGAAACAAAGGGGAGTATTCTGCTGCTTTCTATCCAGAAGGACAGCTTTGCGTTGTGGGATACCACAGAGTTCAGATCTTGTTCCCATTCTCCTTGTCCTTCCAGATTGCTCTATGCTGATAACATCAGCTGTACTGCGTTCTAAGACCGATCATATCCCATGATAACATGATTCCTGTAAATGCTGACATCATTTGTTCTTCAAGCCCCTCTGCTTAATTGAGTCTCAGAAATGTGTTCATGAGCATTGTTTCAAATAGGTGTCTTCAGATTACTTTTTTACTTAAAATAATATTTGGAAGCTCACATCAAACACTAAACTGGAGATGATAAGTCTTGCATGCGTTTGCTTTTGCTTGTCTCCAATGTTACCCATGCTGGATCAGCATCAAATTCTGCAGAACTCAGCTACGAGAATATTTGCTGCTTCAAACAGAATTACTCACTCCAGTTGGAGCTTCTCTGCACTAATTCCTGTTCATAATGTTTATAATTTCTTTGTGATGTTTTCCTGCTATTAGCCCTCACTAGTTCACTCAGCGTAGAGTGTCAAGGTTCAGGACTTTGTGAAGAGATTCCTTGTCTTCATATGTGACGTTTCTATCTCATTCTTCTGCCATGTTGCTATTCCTGCAGTGTATTTGACAACTGCCAAGGCGTAGCCATTGATGGTTTGGATGTTTTTTTTTTTCTTTTACTGTACAACTTGCTTCTCAAAACCTTCTTCTTTGCATTTGTTTGAGGCTGGTTTCCTTTCAGTCTCATCAAGGTACCGATTGCCTGCGGAATCAGAAGGTATTCATAGCTATCTTTAATATCTGTAATGTTGTTTTCTGATCGCAATCAAATTGTGCAAAATTTGGTTACCCTTATCTAGTCTGAATGACACCCCAATGTCCTTGCTGTATATCCTAGTTTGGTGGATACCTATCTCCTTCTTAATATACAGCTTGATTTCATCCATGTTGTGGAGGTGACTGATTGTCTCCATTTTAAAACTCATATCCATATCCACTTGTTCTTTGATGTTCAGATGGAGGCGGTTCAGACTAGAGACGCATTGATTCGTTATTAATATCTGTATCGGTCCTGATATTGAAAACAATTCTCGTTTGAGTATCAGTAACAATGTGCCCGATCCATAACAGCAGATCTAGTCAGTCTTATTCTATATTTTGTGCCTATTTTATTGACTATTTTGGTCAAATGTATTTTGTACACTTTTGACCAAAATAGTCAACCTATGGTTTTTGTAAGTTCCAGTTTCTTTGTTATTTATTTTACATTGCTGCACTCCTAATTGCACCGACTGACCAAATTAAAGTTGTGTTGTTTATAGATGTTATCAAATCAATTTTAATTCAGTACTTTTATGTCTCTGCTTAAAAAACAATAACAAAAAAAAGCGCTTCAAGTCAATTCAGCTCTGATTTTCTGTATCAACTGATAATAAACTTCTGATAGCCATATCGGTATTGGATGTAAAAAAAAAATGTATGGGTGTGTCCCTACTTCAGACCTTCAGACCCACTGATCTTTCTCTATGACAGATTTCAATGTGCTGTTGCTGTGCTGCAGCTATAAGCATTCATCTGCCCTGTCAACTAGTGTCTGTCAGCTAGATGCTGACGTTGTATTTATATTCTTTTTGTAATCTCAAAGCACTGTGATATGTTTTTTTTTTTTAAATCTGTGAGAACATCTGTATACATAACCTTTACTTTGCGGTGAAGCAGGCATTTTGCAGTTCTCTCCAAACTGATCTGATTCAATGTGTCGACTGAGGTATTGCTGTGACCTTCTGGGTGTCTAGCAGCTGACCCCGGATCAGATTGAGGTTGGTGACATTTTACACCTCAGTGCCTTCATATGGCACATTAACCCTTGGATGGGACTTCATAATAGGGTGTATAAATCTGTGGAGTTGAAAGCAGGAGGTAGAAGTCAACATCAGAAAAGAAAAACAAGTTCTTGACTTCAACAAAGCCTCCCTGTATTGCTCAGTTAGTCTTAAAGATTAATTAGACTGTGGAGCACTGCGGAAAGAGAGGACTTTACTGCCTATTTGCATAATGTTCATATAGTTTCTGCAGTTTTGCTCAATCGAGAGAGGAGAGGAGCGGAAAGGGAGGTTTGCACTTATCGTAAAACAAAGTGTGACACCGTTAAATGCTGCACTGCTTTTAGTAAAGATCCATCTCTACTTCAGAGTCGTTATCACCCTCCTTATTATAGATTCAAAAACAACACACGCGCACAAAACGCCCCCCAAACGCCCCCCAAACGCTCGCTTTGGTTGACACACTCCGTTTAGCTTTGTGGGATTGTGTGTTTGCATTTGCATGTGCGAGTGTGTGTGCAGCAGGCTGAGTTATGAGCGTGAATGGAGTGCACGGTGTTTGACCATGTGCATTGTGTTTTATGAGATGAGCAAGCTTTAATGACTCTGTCACCAGTAAATGGGAGCTGATTTGTGGCACAGCTGTCGCTCCACACTCTCCCATCACACATTTAGACACACAACCAATCTGCATCTGAACTGAGGCCACACCTAAACGTCCGCATTTACCGTATATATGTAAAATGTGATACTGAGATGTGACAGCTCATATAGATTTTTGGCACAAACTGTCTCATAAAGGCATTTTGTGGCAACATAAAGTATTTGAAATGTACCACAACATAATCAGGAAAACATTACATGTTCTCAAATCCAGGCAGCAGTTCTACATAAAATCTGATATTTAAAGGTACATAATAAATTTTTGAGCTTCATGTTATAATGTTATTCTCTCATCAAGAACGTACCAGCAGTGTTGCCTTGATTCTTTCATCCATGTTTGAGAAATCCTTTTCTCTCCTTGGCAACCATTCAGCTGTGCAAAGCGATTGGGTGGACTTAGCTCCACCTCCTCCACAGAACTTCCACCTCACGGAGCGTCCCTCCCCTCGACTCCTCTGCTCAGTTCCCCCAGACTAGCCTGCAGCAATTAGCAAACACCTGGTGGAACTGCCCATCTGCTGAGCTCTTTACAGGAGCTTCTTCTCAGTGCAACGCTGGCCAAAACATTGTTAAAGGGTTGATACAGGAGCAACGTTGTGATGACTTTCCGAAGACAGAGATTCAGGAAGAAAATAAGAGTTTTAAAGAGACAGAGGCCCAATTTCAAGGTGTTAAGTTAGGATGTAATTTTAATTTATTTTAAGACATATTTGATACAAATAGCATTTTATTAACAACCTAAGTTAACATAGTTACTTGATTGATGTATAAAACCAGTTGATATAGTTCCTATGGCATGTTTTGTGGTCCCGTATAGCATATTTTTTATTTTATCCAGTGAAAAGCTGAATTTTCAACTGCTTGCTTCACATAGATGTCCTCCAACTTTCTGTTTGCATTGAGGGAAAGTGTGAATATTAATTTGTAATATGATTTTGGTAGATTAACAATTTTGGAAGACTGATGGAGTCTGCTGGGTTTCTTGTTTGGATACAAACAATTGAATAATAAGCTGACCATACTGTTTGATAACAGTATGACCCATTTCAATTTAAATACAATAAAATTCAAATAAATTGTGTTTCTGTTCTATTCAGACTGTAGAAGTTTTTGAAACATATTTAATTGGTTTATTTGTGCTCTACGAGACATGCTAAGTGGCCGGCCTAACCTTAAAAAGCTGATTGGTCAAATGGATTTTCTATCTTAAAAAGTCAAAAATTTTATTTATGTGAAATCAAATGTGTAAGTGACAATATTCTCCATAACACATCTTTATTTCATCTTGTTTCACAGCGTTAAATCCTAAAGATGGTTTCTTTAGGGTACAATTCTAAAAATTGTGTAACAAAACTCATCTAGGAGTTTTTTCTTTCTTTCTTTGCTTTAGAGTTTCACTCTTTGTGATTTTGGTGAGCAATTGTGAACTGCAAAAGATTCAGAACAGGGCTTAGTGTTGTTCAGAATAAATAATTCTATGTTTTCCTTCTATCTCTTTTAATACACTTGAGATAGAAGGAAATTATTAGAAAATGCAAATGAGAGCTAGGGTTAAAGGAACTCCCTCTTTAGGGCCGAGTTTAGACAGAGGTTAACAGAAGGAATGGAAAACTTTTGTTTGATGTCATTTTGTCCTGCTAACTCCTGAAGCCAGCATGAGAACTGGACCAGCTGTATTTTGGTACTGATAAATAGAATGTATGAATTCAACTCAGTGACTCTTCTTCAACCTCGTACATCAAGAACTCAGCATGGAGAACGGATCAATTCTCCACAGTGTGAACAACTACCTGATACAATCAGCTGGCGGTTGATAGAACAGGACAGACAGATATAAGGAACACAAGGAGTTAATTCCTCAAGTCATTTTAGTTTGATATTACAAATTGCTTCAGGACATTAGCATTTAAAAATGAGGGAAAAAAACAGAAGGGAAATACTTTTTCACATGACAATATATTATTTTGTCTAAGAGTCAAAAGGACTCCAATGTCAAGAGATTAAGTTGTGTCAACACATAAGTTAACAAAAGCCAGTTTTAACTGGATATTCTGGTTGTTGCTAGAAAGCTTTGGAGTGAGTGATTCTCTAATTGAACTTATAAGCTACCAAAAGAAACACAAGTTGACCTGGTTAGACTGAGACGCCAGAGTTCTGATGGGGAATTGAGAACATGATTAAACATTTCTTGTTGATCTCATCATGGAGGTTGTTTCTGGTGCAGCGGAGGCAACCTCATGCCGGTATGATAAGTTTTCCTCAGTATTTCATTGCTTTTAGTTTT